CCCATTTACCACACCTTGTTACAGCACAGTAGGGCTATTGCAGACAGAAACAATACTGTACTACATCGATGTTTCCCGTCAGCTTGATTTTTGAGTGGACTTTGCTGTTCCGATTCGCATGAACGGTATACGAGTGGAGCGACTGAGTGGAACCCCGCAGCACCCCGGTTGGGAAACACTGGACTATACTATGAAAGGCACAGTTGTACACAAAACAAAGTATACTTGGGCCTTCAGTGACTGATCAATTACACGAGACATGATTAATTTCAGTGTTTCAACCACGGAAAGACGTCAATAAAACAGCTGGTGACTAGTAATGTCACGTGACATCACATTTACCTCAGGAAAGACATTCAATGACCATAAACTCGATAATCAGCCAGAGTAGAACATAATTATGTTATTAAAATTTGACAAAACACATTGTCTTGGGTGCAATTTAAATGTGTGTACTTGTATATATTGTTGATTATTACATACAAATAATATGGCGATGCCTTCGGAAAATCTCAGAATCGATGCAATCATTTCTCGATTCGCGATGCACCGATTTATTGTCCCAGCCCTAAACAACACCACCACAATAGGGTCATTCCGTGTCAAATCAACCAAATTTCAGAAACTTCCCCGGCTCAAATTTTTGATTTTGTCAATATTTTTTTTGAAGGAAGATAAACATGTAATAGTCATGAAAGCCAAAATATTAAAGGGGTCATATGATGCTGCTAAAAAGAACATTATTTTGTGTATTTGGTGTAATGAAATGTGGGCCTTCAGTGACTGATCAATTACACGAGACATGATTAATTTCAGTGTTTCAACCACGGAAAGACGTCAATAAAACAGCTGGTGACTAGTAATGTCACGTGACATCACATTTACCTCAGGAAAGACATTCAATGACCATAAACTCGATAATCAGCCAGAGTAGAACATAATTATGTTATTAAAATTTGACAAAACACATTGTCTTGGGTGCAATTTAAATGTGTGTACTTGTATATATTGTTGATTATTACATACAAATAATATGTATTTTTGGTTTAAGTTTTCGACTAAATGAAAACTTTAATTTCAAATTTAGTAAAAAAAAATAAGATGCAATAGTAATAATTATAATAATAATATGGTTTCAGCCCAGAATATTTATTTCAGTGCATCACTACTTAAATGTCAACTAAACGGGACGCGGGACTTTTTTCTGATTTTTGCGGCCTAAAATGACTGATTTTGGTGCGGCTTTTCTCAAAATTTGCAGTGATATCTGTGGCATTTCTTATTGTTTTGCAGTGAAAATATATCACAGACAACATTCTTCTAACATTATGACTTTTCTGACTTTGAGAGCCATTGTAGGGTCCAGGACCAACATTTGAGGACACCGGCACCAGTGCCATTAAGTTCTACAGAAGGTGGCACCAGCACCTGACAGTAAAGCACTCACCCTAATCTCACATGTACATCTCGTAGATGTCTATTTGATGTCTGAATTTACATATGCAAGATGTATTTTTTAGTGTTTGCTCATCTGCAATACGTCTCTAAGACGTTTCCTGTCAGATGTCAAATAGACATTTATTAGAATGCATTCTGAGACGCTATCAGATTACACAGCAGATGTTTCCCAGATCTTTAGCAGACGTCTTACAGATGTACTTGTGCTGTGTCTAGGTAGTTAAGATGCAGATAAAATTAACTTTTATTACTGTCATTCATAATGTCTAAATATAATTTAATAATTAAAGCTGCAAGCAGCGATGAAAGGGCCCTCGCACCCGGGCTCACCGCCACCCGATGGCTTTAGGAAAATAGCAAACAGTGGGCAATATGCATTTAAAGTGGTAAATATAGGAGGAATATGTCAAAGTAATTTATATGTGCCAAACTTCCTGTTGCCAACAGGTGGCGCTATGATTATAACTGAACATTGACATGTAGATGTCTTCAGGCCAGAATTCTTACCAAACATGCAATGCTTGGATTGCACGGCCTAGAGTGAGCAGAGGCCGGGGGCTAGAGTGAGGTACGGCCGGAGGGCTAGAGTGAGCAGAGGCGACGGACTTGAGAACGGTGCGGCCGGCGGATTCGACGAAGGAGCGTCCGGCGGGCTTGCGGCAACCACATGGGACGACCCCGGGCTGGACTCCGCTTCGTCCACGGTGAAAGCTGATCCGGCGATCCACAG